GCAGTTGTTGAGGACAGAGGACATGCTGTTACCCAGTTCTCTGATATATACAGCAGTATAACACCATCCTTGTAATAAAAGTACAGAATGAGCCTCTAAAGATGCCTTTTTACTAGATGTTTGTAAGTGGATTTAGGTTTAATGACAAGCTTCTCTTGCTTATTTCCTGCTTTTACTCATCCTTCTTTTTGGGGGGGAGGGCAGCTGACAGGGGCTGTTCTTTCTCAAGCTCAATATTAAATAAAAGAAATCCAAAAATATATTGAAAAAGCACCCTTAAGTCATGGCACAAGGCATATTTCAAATGAATGCAGCTGAAAACCTCCAAACTATCAAAAAGCTATTTCAATAAGGGATTTTTACTTACTTGAGACATTCAAGACATTAACACAACTTCTAAAGAGATTAATCTCTTCCAAGTATTTTAACTCCATTAAATTGACAAAATCTCCAACACATGAAGGTGACAACAACCCTGTGGTCCACATTTCAGTCTTGTCAGACTACAGAGGGCTTCCCAAAGCTCACTATTTTAGGGAGAGCTTTCAGGCAGTTTCTCAGCCAGCTCTTGCAGGCCATGTCCAGAAATCTTTAGTACTGAAGGAGCAAATCATGGAAGTGTGCATTAACTCATGGGTGCATTCCACATCTCAGCCACAGCAAATCACAAACACAGAACAGGACCTGACACACACCATTTAATTTGACATTTGACTACAACAGAGCCAAAGCAAGGTGACTCCAGCCCATAAATACTCCTGACTCCACCAGCACTGACGATGTTCAGACTTCAAACCTTGAAGGGAAGCAAACAACAGCATCAAATCCCTGCAGTTGTTTCACCTTAAACAGACAGAAGGGAGGTGTTGACACTGAAGTGATGCTTTGCAGTTCAGGCAATCTGTGTTCAACTGCCAGGCTTGACTAAGCTCTGGATGCAGCAGGAGAATTAAAGACAAGTCACAGTCCTCTCACCTCATCCAAAGCATCCTGGAGCTGCAAAATGCAGAGGAAAGACTCCTGGTTGAATGAGATGCCACTGTGCTCCAGTACAGCACAGCAAGGAATGGACCTGCATCATTTTCATTTTTAACATTCAAGGAAACTAAATTAAAATAGTCAAAACAAATATAGAAAGAAACAACAATTGTAATCAAGGTGGCAAGAAACTGGCAATGTGTTCACCACTGGAACAGTTTGGGAGTTACCCTGAACCAGGCAATACCATTGATCAAGACATTTCTTTGCATCAGCCTCCTGCAGCAGACAGATAAAATGTAGCTGTTCTGTCTACATAAAATGTGTTTAGATATATAAATCCTTGCAAAGTGTCTTTTTATTTTGAGGCAAAACCAGAAAGAATTATACGCTGCATTAAATATTTTCTTCTTTTTGTCCTCTTCTCGACCGTCTGTGAGATCAATTAAAGTGCCTTTGCATAAAACAGGCAGAGAGGAGCACGTTCCAAAAAATAAATAAATAACGACGCCACTCTGCTTTCAGTGTGATGCCTGAAGAAAACAAGTGTAACGACTTAAAGATTCCCACAGTGAAAAAGAAGAAAATGATGAAGGTTTAATCATACACTTACAAGGCAACAAAACACATTTCTCAAGTCTTAATATCTCTTGTGAAATTTTAAGCGCTCAGACACAAATATTAGCAACAAGCTGCAGCAAGCTGAGTCGTTTCCCCTGCCCTCGCACAGAAATATGTGTGAGTCCCTCCCTTGCACTCACACACACACATTTGCTATCTCCATCGCTTTTCTATCTGCAAAAATATCCAAATGATGAAACTATGAGCGGTTAAGATGTTACAATTTAACACATTCCTCGCCTTATGGAGGTCTCAATGTCCTGGAGCTCAGAAACCTCTCTGCCCAGCTGCACTGCAACATCTGGAAGCATCAGCATGACTTTCCTGCAGGCTGACCAGCAATGGGAGTCATGGCCCCAGCCTCAGCACAGAGAGACAACGCTCAGATCAATTGCTTCCCCAGTTACCAACTGGAATAGACAGAGGGGGAAAAGGGAGAGAGATCAGCCCACCAAAAAAACTCAAAACCTACTTTCTTCTCCCTCAGAATGCCCTTTATCATGTCTGTGCAGGGCAAGGGAGGAACTGTTCCTATCAAAATCTCATCATCACAGGTTTTAAGGAAGAAATTTTTCACAATGAGGGTGGAGAAACAGAGGCACAGGTTGCCCAGAGAAGCTGTGGCTGCCCCATCCCTGGGAGTGTGCAAGGCCAGGATGGGACTTGGAGCAACCTGGGATAGTGGGAGATGTCCCTGCCCACAGCAGGGCCATAGGAACTGGATGATCTTTAAGATTCCTTCCAACCCAAGCTATGCTATGATTCCATGACCCTGTGTGGCCCCAGAGACTTGTGGCCTAAGTGTGCACAGCAGGTCGCTGACCATTTCCCCCTGGATTATGGGGGCTTCATTCTGCTCCCAGTCCCTCCAGCTGTGGGCGTCATCCCACCCTGTTTCCCTCATGGCAACTGTGCCGTATTTTTCCAGCTGCACAGGGGCTCCCAGCTCCTCCTGTTTGTTGCCCATGCAGTGGGCACTGGTGCAGATGCACTTCAGCTGGGCTATTGTTCCCACCACTTTTCTTTAGGGAAGGAGCCCTAATTCCTACATGGCCATTCTCAGGCACTTCCACGGTTTTGAACACATCAATAACCCCGGTGCCTTTGCTGCTGCAGGGATCTCCATCCCCTACCTCCACTGGGACAGCAGAACCAAGGGCCTCGCTGGCACAGCATCCCATAATAAAAAAACCTAAAAATCTGCTGGTGACACCAGGCTCGGGGCCAGGTATTGATCTACTGAATATCCCTGGTTCTTCCTCTTCATTCCCTGCAGCTGGAAGGGGAGAGGAGAACACTACATGTGTTCCTGATCCCTTAACCAGCCAACCTCACAACAAAACACAAGAGAACTGAGAGGTGAGAGAAATCACTGCTCTACACAATTGAAACAGTAGGAAAATAACTTGCAATAATAAAATAAATTTTAGAAATAAACCCACACAAGAAAGAAAACCAAACACCCAAGAAATGAAAGCAAAAGCTAAGAGGTGAATAATTCATTTAGGCAATGTGCAGTGCCCAAATTCTACCTGAATTGTTTACATGGAAGCTTCATGGTTTAATCAGAACTGCCAGAACAAGAAAAATCAGAGTCATAAGTACAACATTTATCTTGAGTAAACGAAATAGGTCTCTGGGTAAGGCATTTTCATTTAAAACAGAAAAAAAATAGGTTGCAGTTTGTAACGTGACCAGCAAGGGGAGTCGGTGCCCAGAGCTCTGAGGGAACCACGCAGATGCAGTTTTGGGTGGAGAAAACTCAAATAAACAATTCTGAGGTAGTGACATTGATGAAACATTGAAGACTGCCAGAGGATGCTGGAGGATGATGGACAGAGAGCAGAAAACCCACTAACCTGGAAAAGAGAGAGGGCTTGAGAGATACTAGAGTAGAAAAATAACCATGTTTTGCTTGGAAATTGGACTTTCTGTCCCTGCAAGACTTAATGGAGAGCACGTCATGAAGAGCTCTTAGAGGGGAAAAAGGCAAAGGACAAATTAAATCAAGCCAGGATGGAGCTACGGATAAGAAAATAAGGGTTAATCTCAAAGTACTTCTGAGTACAATATTCTGACAGTAACATGAAAAGACTCTGGCCAGTTCCTCTGGTGGCCTTGAGGAGGCATCCAGGAGGGTACCAGATGTGTGGGAGAAGATGTCAGAGGACTAGGGCTAATCAGGTACCTTGTCACTGAGCCCCAGAACCAGAAACAAATAGGGGAAAAAGCATAAATAACAGCTATTAAATACAACCCTTGCAAGGAGTGGGATTTAATAATATTATCCAGCATTTAAAGAAAAATGCCAGCAGTAGGAACTCATTAGGCTCTGTATGGGGAACAGCAGCAAAATCACTGCTGCAGCTCCAGCCATGCTGGGCTCATCAACAGAAACGGGGCCACCCTGGGCTCCAGGGCCACCGGGAGGGACACTCAGAGCTTTCGTTCCTCTGCCCCGTTAATCTCATTAACCTCGTATTTACTCTGTTGTTGGTAATTACTCAGAACGTTAATAGGCACAATTTATGCATATTATTTACTGAATGTTACAAATCTCTTTAGCTCTGTGTAGGAATCGGGGCTGGAACAAGCCAGTGCTCCAAGTGCTATGGAAAAGGGAAGCAGAGAAATGAAAAATACTTTAACATTTTTAAAAAATCTTTTTTAGGACTTGTTTCAAATTTCTTCAATATTTTCAATTTCTTCTTGCAAGATAACCAATCAATTCAGATAAATACATAAAATCCATCCATTTTACTAGTTTCATAATAACATTCTAACAAGGAAAAAACAGACAGCAAACCAAAAATACCCAAGAAAAGACTTATTTCCTCCTATTAAGCTGGAGCCCATGAAACAACTATTCCAGCCATGATACAAATTACTGTTAACGATATTCCAGGTGGGAAAAACAGATGCAGTTTAAGAAAACTGTTATTGCTGTTAAAGAACTCCATAGGTTTTACAGACACAGTCTGTTACACCTTGAAAAATGGAACTTTCACTGACCATCTGTTCCTAGCAGAGAACACCCAGCAACTCTGGCTTTGGCCAGAAAGCCCAACTCAAAGTCAACATATCATGAGCAAGGGACATCCCAGAGTTTAATGCACAGCCAAGATCAGATGTTGGGGGAGGATGTGGATGGAGATCACGCAACAGTAACCAGTTAAAACAAGGAAACCACTGCAAGAGCAGAAGATGTCATCCAGAGGTGAGCATCTGCAAGAACAAAGCCCACAGCACTCCTACACCCCCACTCCAGAGCCTCCTCTACAACATGCAGCATCACCTCCAATGAGCTGAAAGGATATGGAGAAAACCAACCAAAAGCAATGAAAAATAAAAATGAAATGGGAAGGATTATCAAGGCAAGAAAACAGCAAAAATTACCTCACCCACAATTTTATTCTGCTGTGTTGTGGAGCCACTTGCTGGGAACTTGGCAGCAATAACCCAATGGACCCAAGGCCCAGCTCAGCAGTATTGTTCCTGTTTAGATAAAAGGACAAAAAAAACCAAAATCAGATGTGAGAAGCACAAACAGGCTTTTATCTGCTCTGCTTCCCTCAGTCTGAAGCTCAGGGATTCCCAAGACTGAGGTTTTAGCTGTATCTTTAGATTCATCTGGGAGTTTTCATACCCTGTGAATTTGTTAAACATATCCATATATTAGGAAAGCTTTGCTTTTGGCCTACACCACATCTGTTGACAATGGAACATACACAAAAAAAAGGAAACAAAAGAACATTTCTTCCCTTTCATTTCAGGGTGCAAACATTAGGGGATGCCTAGCAAAACACAGCAAGGAATTTTATTTTCTGCAATTTGTGATTTCACATTAGTGTCATTTCCCCCCGTATATCTATGGGATATTTTATAGCCAGTATTAGCCAGTTAAACAGGAGCTGGTTTTAGTACATTTTTACTACATTTCCTACAAAAAGAAAGCCCATGCAAATATAAGGATTGCTGAGAGAGAACAACTTTCAACCACACAACTGAGATAACCAAGGGGACCCAACACTGGACTTTTGAACATTTTCAGGGATGGTGATTCTACCACTTCCATGGGCACTCTGTTCAATGCTTGACCACACTTTCAGTGAGGAAATTTTTTCTTATATCAGATCCAAACCTCCCTTGGTACAACTTGAGGCCATTTCCTCTCATCAGGAACAGCATCCATAAGGATCCAAAAACTCAGATAACTCTGGAGACTGTAATGACATCATAAACTTATTTCCCACACACACTTCCACAAATGTTGGTGGGGTTTTTTGCCCAAATTTGGAAACTAATACTCCAGAATGAATTTAATGCAGTTTATAATGCTTTAATAAAAAATAAAAGAGAAAAGAAGAAAAAGAATGGCTTAGGCAGCTCAGGTGCAGGCACTTGTACACTGGACAAAGTAAGGAAATAAAAGTATTACAGACTTTTTAGAGCAATTATTCCTCAAATAAAGTGTTTGAATAAAAATGCTGATATTTTGGGCTTGTTTTGAACAGGAGGAGCATCACCACACAGGAGACAGCCTTCCAGACTAACCATGAAAGCCTTCTAATCCCTCCTTATGATGGGATGGTGGAGAAAGTCAAATCACTTGGGATACACTGGGGCCAAAGAGAGCAGCAAAGAATGCCAAAGGAGCTTCTGCCTTGAGTTTTTCTTCCCTTAGAAAAGCCACCCAATTACCCTTTCCTCCTCTTTGATTACACAATCGACTTCAACACCCTCAAAAGCCAACACCTCCAAAACATGGGGGAAAATAATGATTAAAAGCCTTTAAGTTAAAGTGCAGTATCCAGAACCAGCTTTCAAAGACAGGGTAAATAAGGAAGACCTTTAAATTTTAAGATGTTGCTCAGCAGAACTTTGTCATGCCACATCACACAACACTTCTTCCTTGTTATTTCTCTGACCAAAGGTCAAAAATTCCTCTTCCCAAGAGACAAGCGTTCATATAAGAAGAGTGGTGGAACTTTCACATCCAGCTAATTCAGGAACAATCCGCATCTCCATCCTGGAGACCTTCCTATATACGCTTTATTGCAATTTAAGGTGGGGAGAAAAAAATGACAAAATTTGTCTCAAATTGAGGCAGTCCTGCTCCAAATGAAAACAGAATTATTTGTCCAGCACACAGAGTCCAGCACACAGACATCTCAAGATGTTCATGGCTGCTGAGGCGGGAGTTTTTATCACACTCATGTATGTAGCCTTGGGACAAGCATTTTTAAACTGCCTGTACAAGCGAAAAAACAGTGGTCATTTCAATTTTTCAGAACAAGCTAAGCCATGGCACACCCTGTCCTGCCAAGCAGAGATTCAGGTTCTTAAGAATAGAAACCTGGTGGTCCAATTTCCCAGAAATATTATAATTTCCCAGAGCATCCAAGGCAGCCCTAGGAGAATGAAAACTAATATTGAAATGATCAAAAACACACCACATTGCACATGAGACTTCTTGCCCATCCATCTTTCCCCTATCTCATCCTCCCACCAGTTCCTTCCCCAGAATTGATGTTTTCTTCTCCAATTCAATCTTTTTCTGGTGGTTTCTCCACAGCAGGGCCTCTCCTTTGTGTCCCTCTTGCATTCTCCACAAAGGAATGCCAGAGGGAGGTGATCCTTGGTTGGCATCCACTGGGACAACTCAATTATAGGGAGGAATTAGTGACAGCTCTGCCCACCTGCAGGTTCTTGAGGTTTTTTTAAGCCATCGTGTATGTAACTCACATGATGTCAGTACAGGAATATCACACTACTGGAAAGGAAGGGGCGGGTTTTCCTCGTTTCTATGGTTATGAGCAATTTTAATGACCAACCTAAATAAAAAGGCTGGAAGAGAGAGAAAGTAGGAAGGAGTGAGGTGGGCGTTTAATTTTGATTGACAAGACAGAGCAGAACTAGTTAAGATCTGTCAAATGCTTGCTGAGGATCACAAATCCTCAGCACATTCTACGGCAGACAGAATTAGTCTAAATGCACAGCTTTACAAAAATATTTCTTATCTGCTGAGATCAGAGTTCAGCATTTCAGTTGCCCCACAGAAAGCATCTGATGTCGTAACTACCAAAGGAACTAAGGTAGGGCCAGAAAAAATACATGTATATTTTAATTATTTGTATTTGATTTTTAAGTATTAACATCTACAATGTCTTAATATGTTCTAATTTTTGTCTCTGGCCTATGGATATAAAAATATTTATATAAAATGACAGCATTCTCAAGATTGTTAGTTACCAAAACAACAAGTTTAAAGGCAATTATCAAAGGCACCACTTTGGAATCACATCTGCATCACGTGAAACATTGTATAAATACTGACTACAAAGATAACTCCTGCAATAAAGACCTTAAAATAGGAGACTGAACGCAGAAGGAGTTGAACACAGATTTGATGGGAAATTTCAGGAAACACAATCTGGAAAGACAAAAACACTGGCATGATAGTCAGCTGTGATGTTCCCTGAAGATACACCACCAAAAAAACAAGCTTTGGGGAAAATGAAGAACATTCCTACAAATGAAATCAGCAAGAAGGAAGAAGAATGGAGAGGTGGAGACTTGGAGCATTTCAAAGTCAGGAGCAGAGTTTCATGACCTTGGAGGGAAGAATCAATATCTCAGCAAGGCACAGGCAGCATGGGAAGACTAAACCAGCATCTTGTGTTTAAGGCCAGGGAGAAGCAGGACGCACCGAAGGACAGACACAAAGAAGATTCAAGATGTGCCTGAACCAAACTTGAAAGATGTTTTTCCTGTACTTACTTGGCTCTTTTGGGATGCAAGCAGGACGCAGTGATCTTCACAGGGCTACACACCCATGAGCTTTGCTATTTTATCGAATGATGTTAGAATTTTAAGGAGAAAAAACTCGGCAAGAGAGGATGAGACTACAAAAGAGGGAAGTCAACAGCTCCCGAGATGCCTGCCAACAGGATCTGCACTTAAAGCGTGCAGTTTTGGCAGAGAACATTCTCAAAATCTGGTATTTAAAAGTCTCATGGTGTTGGAACTTGTAATTAAAGTTAAAGGATACAAGTGAACTAAGATCTGATCAACACAAACTTGTATCAAAGTCAGAATGTGTTCCCACAGAGTCTCAGCCACCTGGTTCATCCACGCCTCATTCAAACAGAAAAAAATTAGCTACCAACTACTTTGATTCCCACTCAAAATCATTCCTCTCCAGCTTCTAAAAGGGATGGATTTGTAACAATCTTCAAGAATTAAAATATTCCAAACAAACCCAAAAACTCACAAGTTGTTTAATTTACTGCCACTCTCCAATTCTAGAGCAACATTATTTGTTGTGATATGAACTTTTCCTGCACCTATCAATACTCGGGCATTGATGGGTGAAAGAAACAAAGAATAATGAAAACACCTACAGTTTCATTCTTGCTCCTCAAGAACTGGAATAAATGGAAGAATTCAAATCCTTCATTGAGAAAAGCCCTGAGGAGAGGAAGGACTTGGGGATATTGATGGATTGGAAGCTTGACATGACATTTTAAGTGGCAATGTGGCTGCTCCATCCCTGAAAGTGTCCAAAGCCAGGCTGGACAGGGCTTGGAGCAACCTGGTCTACTGGAAGGTGTCTCTGCCCATGGCAGAGGTCAGAATGAGATGATCTTTCAGACCCCTGCAAACCCAAACTGTTCTAATATTCTACGAATTTACTGCTGCTTCCTTCCCAGTAGTGCCAACATGAACTCAATAACCAAGAAAATAAACAAACAAAAAAAAATTAATAAAAAAAAAAGGAATTCAAATGTGATCTGATTTCTTACTGCACGGTTTCCAACATCCAAGCTGTCCATCACCAAGTTGAAGAGAAAACCCAAAGCAGTGCAGAATCAGCTGGCACAAGCTCATTTTTTTACCAGGTAATGCCTTGAAACCTCCCAAACCAACTTTGCTGCCATCAGAGCCACCTCTTCCTTGGACAGCGCCCAGGAACTACTCGCAGATGAAATCCAACCGAATTTACTGCTTCTGCAAGCCTGGAAATTTCACTTACAGAGGTGACATGACATTTTGTTTCGCCAATGCTAATCTAATACCTTTTTAAAGGTGCATACGTTTCACCCTGTTGGCTTCCAACACTGAATTACCAGCTCTGCTAAGATTCTGAATAAATGAGACGAGCGTGGCCTCCAGGCGAAATCCCTTTGCTGTAATCTTTATTCAAAACACACTGCTCCAGAGCCTTGCATGCACTGCCAAAAATCGCCTTGAGGTTTGCTCTTAAGATGGCAATTTGCATATCAACATTTTGCTGCAGAGCTTACCCAATGTCCCTGCTATTATTTTAATACTCTGCTGTGGGCGGCCCCCTGAGCAGCTCACAGAAGTGCAGGCTAAAAATATTCCTGCCTTCCCCACCGGCTCCACACATGACCACAGCGAGCGTCGGCTCGGATGCAAAACCAGCACTGATGGCATCCACCCGCCTCTCCAGGAGGATGCGCAGGCTC